GCAAGATTGGTCCCTTTCTTTAAGACCACCGCAACAATTAACAGAGCAGCATCATGCACGGAGCAGGAGCCAAAGCAAATTGTGGCCCACATTGTAAGAGTCCACAATAATCCTACCATGTGTTTGCTGATGCTTTGGTTTCTGAGGATAGTTAAGATTGCAGAACTGACTGGCTTCATCAACCAACACTTGTGGGAATCGTAAGATTGGTCCCTTTCTTTAAGACCACCGCAACAATTAACAGAGCAGCATCATGCACGGAGCAGGAGCCAAAGCAAATTGTGGCCCACATTGTAAGAGTCCACAATAATCCTACCATGTGTTTGCTGATGCTTTGGTTTCTGAGGATAGTTAAGATTGCAGAACTGACTGGCTTCATCAACCAACACTTGTGGGAATCGTGTTAATTGCATTAGAGTGGGTGGCACCAGGCCAGCTGATGTAATAAGGAGAAGCACATACACAATGCAACAATGTATTGCGTAAGAAACTGCTCCATACTGCCTCCTCCCCTTCCTTGGCACGCAGTAGCATTTTGCAGCAAAGCTCCTGAGGCCGTGCACGTAGAAATGTGAGCTCTGCCGCATTTGAGTGAACGTCTAGTCTAGGGATGTAATAGTGCAGTTGATTAAACAATTAAAAAAAAAGACTCTGCCCCTTTAAGAAACCGCAGTTAAACGTGTTTTGAGGTTTTTTGGCCACAGCAGGCCCCCCCCCCCTGCCGCTATCTTTATTTCTGCAGCTTTTCATGGCTGCGCCGGATGGCTCCCTTGCCCAGGTCAGCACAGGAAAGAGCCGCTTTGTGGGGTGCGGGGGCGGCTTTCGAGCCACGGGGCTTCACGAGCGGCACCCAGGGCCAGGGGAGGGGGGGGAGCTGCATGCGGTTTGGGAGCCTCTGGTTGGCCACCCCTGATATAGGTTAATGCTATAGACTACACGCATCCTACCCCTCCACAACCAGTACATTTTTTAGCAGGCTGGCCAGCAGCCTTGTTCTGGTTCTGGCTCACGCCACGTCTGGGTCCTACCCTTGCTGTGGCTCTGCATTTAAAGTGTATTAGGAGCCGGGCAGGCAGCCTGGCTCAGTTGCCGTTTGTGCTGTGTCCAGGAACTCAGATCTCCTCGCTTCCCCCGAAAAGAAGCTGCTGCCACCCCACACTGCTGTCTCTTTATTAGAGACAGTAGCACAGGGTGACAAGCAGCCGGTCCACAAGAGGAGCTGGTTTTTAAACTGGCTCCCCTCACAGACTAGCTCCCACCTGACAGCCCACACTACTGCCGCCCCTGCCCCGGGGGACTACAGAATAGTCGATTAACCAATAAGAATTCATGAGGTTACTCAACTATTCAATAAACCGATATTTAACATCCCTAGTCTAGCCTGCCAAGGTGAGCACCGCCTCTCTGTCAGTGGGGCCTGCTGAATGCTCCAGGGCAATGTGAAAACCTCCCATAATCCACATGGCAAACTCTGCAAGGCTGCATGCGAGCGATGGGGGAAACGCCTTTATGGCCGACTCTCATAGCAGGTGATCCAAATGGACTAGGAAACAGAGCAGGCTTCCTGAGATCCACCCGTTGATCCAGCTCCTGGCTGGACTGAAAGAAGTGCTGAACGCCTACAATCCCCATGGAAGTTCTGAGTTCTCAACCCCTCTCAGGATCAAGACCCCACCTATACTACAGGGAGATGACTTCCAGCCAGCACGGATCTGCCAAGTAACTTGACTTGGCCAGGATCTCCTCTGGAAGCTCTTAGCTTCAAGGACACAGTGGTTCAAATTTGGCTCTCAAATACCTACACTCCCCAAAACAATAGACTCAAATTCGAAAAGGATAAACTCGGCCCTTCCAAGGCAGGCATTTAATGATCATGGGAGTTTACCCCATACAGTATCTTTCATATGAAACCTTAAAAACCCAAGATCACATCCGGTCATAATGAATACTAAATATCTCACTTCACTTTTTGGGGGGAGAAGCGGGGGGAGGGGCTTGTGGCTCCCCCTCCCCCCCC